CGGATGATTTCCCTGTCCCCACGGATGATTTCCCTGTCCCCACGGGTGATTTCTGCGTCCCCACGGATGATTTCCCTGTCCCCACGGGTGATTTCTGCGTCCCCACGGGTGATTTCCCTGTCCCCACGGGTGATTTCCGCGTCTCCTCTCGCCCTTCACAGACCGCATGTTCCGCGCGGGTTTGTTTCTGGCAATAAACATCCCCTGTGCTCTGAGCGCCCGGGACGCTGCAGGGTCGGTGTGGTTGCATCAGGGTTTGGGCAGAACAAGTGCCCGGTGGGATTTTCGGGCGCTGTGGAACAGGGTTTATGGGAGTGAAATCCGTAACGGGCGCTCCGGGTGTTCGTGTGAAGCGTGGGCACGTGAAAAGAAATAAAGTCAAAATGCGCTGTTATTCCTGGAGTTTTTTCCCTGGAAAAGAAAAAGGGCGTTTAAATGCAGGTTAAAAATGCTGCAGCACGAAATAGAAGCTCGTGGTTGGGACTGAATACAAAGATGTGTGTCTAAAAGTCCGTGTATCTTATGTCTGTTGTTTGCAAACTCCTTTGTCCCTCTCAAAATACGAACCAGGTTCGAAGTAGGTGACTTTGTCCCTGGGGAGTGGAGCAGGTTCCCTGCGTGGAGGAACCTGCCCTGGGTGTGGGATCCTCTTGGTACACAGGTTCCCTGGCCCTGCCTCCTGCACAACCAAGACAAGCAGCTGCACAGGGTAGTGCTGGGCCCAGACACCCCCCGTGCACATCCCGGGGTTGCTGCAGTCTGGGTGTCCACAGCCCAGTTTTTGGGCACCCTTCCTGTGCTGCCCACGCTTGTCCTCCGGTTTCATGGGAGAGGGATCCACACAGTGTTGGAGGGCAGTCATTGAGGGTAATTAGGGGATTTCCTTCCAAAGCACATTTGTCTGAGCTAGTGCAGATGTTTCCGCGTGTCTCAGCACTTGGGTGCTTTGTCATGCAGATTTGGGAGGAGGAGGGAGAGATGGGGTGAGATTCTTGTGTTCAGAGAGAACATGACAGAGGGTTTGGGATGGGCGGGTATCACACCTGTGCTACAGAAAGAGGTGATACTGTTGTCCTGGCTAGAGAGATCTGTTCTCATCATGTAAATGTTAATCTTTAAGGACAACTGGCTTAAAGCAGGCGGATACCATCAGCTCCTCTGTGCATCCCTCTGTTGGGCTTTCTGTGACATCAGTTCGTGTATCTTCTGGTACCACCAGGGTAGTTGTGTGCTCCTTTCACACGCTCTGGGACTTCCACGTGTCTGTCACTTTAGGATGCATCAACTTCCTCCAGTGGGATTTGTCTATTTTTAGGACAGCTGCGGTCATGACTGTGTTTCGAAGATGTAGCACAGGCCAGTGGACAGGCTGTAAATAGCACTTGCCCTTTTTAGTTGAGCATTTCTTTCATCCTGGAGGAGGAAGTAAATTGAGCGGCATTTTCAGTTCTGCCTGATACTTCTCAGGAATTCCCTTTGGAGTCAGTCTGCGGTTCGTCTTTCTTGCCTGCAACTTGTCTGAACAGCACGTGGTACCGGGGGCATTTCACTGCGCAGGGGAGTGTTCCGGGACTCGGTTCCACGAGCTGGAGAAGGGAGTCCATGCAGGCAGCTCTCAGCTTCACGTAGCTGAGGCCCCAGCTCATTCGCGCCCCTCTCCTCCCCTCTCCTCCTACACACCGAACACACCCGTTCGTGGAGTGTAAATCGCTTGCAGAGGGAAGTGACTCACTAACTTTGCTTCTCGGATGCAAAAGAATTAACTCGTTTGTATACTTTTTTAAAGATACAGGAGTCTGACCTGTGAGATGCCAAGCAAGGCTGCTGTCTCAGCTGCATTTCAGGTTCTTTGGTTCGTCTGTAGTGTGGCTGATTGCCATCCCTGCAGCTCTTTAAATGAAAGGAGAGATGATAAAAGATGAGGCTTGTAGTTGGTGCTTACCCCGAGCACACCTTTTATTTACAAAGAAAGATTTGCAGTTGTTTAAAGCTCCATGCATTGCTTTTGAAAGCTTGCTGAAGGGGGTCCTTCTCTGTCCTCACTTCCAGTTTAGTCTGCTCCCTGCAACTTTAACTGGTTAACATAGAACTTTTTAAACAAAATTAATGAGACAAACGTCTTAAAGATAATTCAAGATGGGGTCTTGTGCCCCGGACAGATCTCTCTGCAGACAGGGTTAAAATGTGGGGGGTTTCTTCAGTGTTCCTGGAGCCCAGAAGCTCGGTGGCTGGGCAGCTTTTTGAGAAGAACCTGGTGGCAGCTTCTCCTGGTTCTGTGAACCTTAGTATGAGGCATGGCCTGTTCTAGAACAAATGTATGGTAGCAGAAGCACTCTTAGACTTGTGTTGGCATGTAATGTGTTGAAGAGGACCCACTTAATAAAAGAATTGCATATGCAGATGTCTTCAGGTGGGAAAAGGAAGTCTGTCTTTAGTGCCTGTGGGATGTTTAGCAACCTGGTATTAAAATGAGGCAATGCCTGAGCTGTTAAGCAGGCAGTGGTAGGAGGTGCTTAGTGGTCTTTGGGTCTTTTATATCTTTGGGGAGATAGAAATCTCTGAACTGTGCTTTGATCGCAGGGCTGAGCCAGTCTAAGCCCTGATTGCCACCCAAAGGGGGACATATCTTCCCTTCCCCATATGTTCCCTCCTACATCTCACCAGACTTCACGTGTTTGTCTTCTCTTTTGTGCTGGCACTTGTGTTTATCTGATCTGTCAGCAAACTTATTCAGGGACACAGACAGAAAAGTCTTTTTGTTTTGTAGTTAGTTTTCAGCTGGTTTAACTCCCTGACCCTTCATTCTGCACAGCTCCAGTGCTGGAATAAGGGGAGCAGGCCTGTCTCTTCCAGTTGCTGCTGTAAGCTCAGCTTAGCTGGATTGCTGAGCAGCACTTGGGTCTTGTGACAGATACGAGAGACCTAGAAAGAAAAGCTGTGCACTTCTGTGACATTGTACCTGAGCAACAAAACCTTGCTGAAAAGTAAGAAAGCCTAATGGTGCGGGCGTGGTAACATGAACTCAGTGATACTGATTTTTGGGGCCTAAATTAGTGTTTCCATGCAGTGTTGAATTGTGCTGCATAAACATACAAGTTTGAGTTGGTGCCAGTGCAGTGATTTCTGTGCCATGCTGCATTTCACTGGGTACATGTGCACTTAGTACATGCAAAGCCCCTCCATTAAAGGGGATGTTGAAAGCCCTGCTCAGAGGAAGAGCCCAGGTGTTCCTAAGAAAGGAGACACCCTTCCTTGTTAAGCATATACTAAAATGTTTCCTGATTGGAACTGGTTTGAAAGTAAATGGAAGAATTTTCTGCAGATTCTGTTCCTGGTGTAAGGTATGAGAGGGAGTTGGGCCAAGGCTTTGGCCTCTTGCTGGCAGGAATGGGTCCTGTCTAGGTTGGTTTGTAAAAGCAGGTGTAGGAGAGGGAGAGAAACCTCTTGGTTTTGCTCTTGGGATGACAGCATTGTTACCACAGGTGCATGGCTTTCTGGAAAATAATAAAATAAATAAAACAGATTTTCCTTATTTTTCAAAGTGTCTAGCATGCTGGTTTTATCATCTTTTCACCAAACTTTTACACCAGACTTACCTGTTTTTTGGGAAACCTGTGAGATTGTTACAGTATAGAATAGACTGCTAAGCACATAGGTGGTGTTTATGCAGCTCAGTCCAATTATCTGACTCATGGGTCATTTCATCATTCCATCTGCAAGTTGTGGAGTCAGTCTTCTGGCTGAACTCCACCTGCTGTACCAACAAGAACTACTGCCAAGTGTGCTTTTTAGTTGAAAAGTGTAGTTGGGAAGAAAAAGTCATTGGAAATAAGATAGACTTCAGCATTTGAGGCTTGAGCTTGTTTTGTGGGGTTTTTTTGGCCTTTGGAACTCTTTCATTGCCAGTAGAGATAAAAATAGTGAAAGTGCCTAGAACTGTTGGGGAACCTTAGTTACAATATTCAGTCCCTCTTCCAAACACAGCTAATGGAGTTGTGAAGGTCCTGGCAGAAGGCTGCAAAATATTTGTGCTGCACACCCCTTTGTCATTTCTCTTCACAGTTCTTGTGCAGTGGATATGAAAGCTGGGTACAGTCCAGCAATTGCTACTTTGTAAGAAAAACTGATGGGCCAAAAGTTCAAACTGGCCTCCTTTTCACTCAGCAGGAGGAAAACTGAACGAACCGGTACTGTGTTTGCACTCTGGGGAACAAATGCTTCAGAGCATCTGAGAATGGGATCCTCTGTTAGCCAGCAGTTTGAGATGTGTGTGTCTTTCCTTGTTGAATTGCTCCACAGAAATCCACAGCCATTCCACTGGTGTGACTTGCCCTTTTGCTCTCACTGTAGCACCTTAGGTAGCAGGCTGGGCTCTGCCTGCCCATCTGAAGTGCCATGGGTTTGCAGATTTTACCAAATTTTGTTCAGAGTATCTGGTTTATTTTAAATAACTGTAAAAATGGCCTTATACCACTTGCCTCCTTTTCAAGACTACCTTGCAAAAATCTTTCTGAAGTTTGTCATCTGGTATTCACCACCTGTACTTGGGAGGTCAGCAAAAATGCAGTCCACAACTTGTTTTCCTGTGAAAATGTGACTCTTCTCAAGGTATGTCAGAGAACTGATGTACAGCCTCTGTAGTGGCATATGAGTCTAAAATAAGTTTTCAGAACATTTGTTTCTGTGTTTCTGTGCTAGCTGTGCATATTTTCTGAAAAGATCTAAAATTTTATCTGGAAACCAGTGAGCCTACTTTTAATAATGACACTAAACTAGAATTCTTCTTTTTGACCTTGTTGTTACTTAACTTTCCTTCTTTGTCACTAATTTGTATTTCAGAGCATCCCCATGTGTTTTCAGCACTGCAGCTCAGCAGAGAAGTCCAGGAGATGAGTGTGGCCCAGAAGATCCCCGTGATGAGCCAAAGCATCCCCTTTCTGACTGTGCTTCAGACCACAAAGCCATCAAATTGGAAGAACAAGTCCGGGATTTAACTGTGAGTTTGCTGCTCGTGGCATTGGGATGCCTTTAGCTTGGTCCCCTTGACATGGTCTGTTCTTCAGCCCTGGCTTTTTCTGTCACTCACTCACTCATACACACACACACATGCACTGTCACTCACTCACTCATACACACACACACACACATGCGCACACACACCACTGTGCTGTAGCAGCCTTCAGAGCAGCTGTGCTCCAAGTGTGAGAGGCTGCACAGTGGAAGCACAGCCTGCCTTCCCCAGAAACACCATCTGTCAGTAGCACCCAGGAGCAAGACACTGCTAGTATGACCCTGGCATGTAAAACTGCGTGTTGGCAGTGGCCTGGTCAGATCTTTCACAGCCTTGTAGCTTCATCATCGTTAGCATCACATAGTGTGTTGCCACAGATTGTCTGAGAAGAAAAGTCCTCTTTAGTGATAGTGGTGTGGTGGAAATGGTAGGGATCAAGTTGTAGGGACTTCGAAGAACAGATGTTACTAAGGATAAATACACAAATACTGCAGCACTGGGCAGGCAATTCTGGAGATATTCCATGAGAAATACTGCTGCACCAAGCAATAAACCAGCTGATTGCAGACCTGTTGCTGGGACCACCAGTTTGCCTGCTGGAGAAAGGAGTGTCCCAGTACTGCAGTGAGTCATGCACAGAGCAGCAGCCTGACCATGAGTTGTTCAGTAGAGCTGTGCCCTGAATGCTTCAGGCCTTCACTTGGCCCTTCTGAGGGAGTCAAAAGTTGTGGTGATCAGTCTGTAGAAAAGGAACTTGGGTTTGCGTGTAATGAAAACGCAGGAGCCCAGCACAACCTTCTGATGTGACGAGAGTTATTTTTAAATTGTTTCTAAGGGATTGCCAACTTGTCAGGAAATAGGTTCTGCCTCCTTGTTTGATGTCTCCCCTTGCTGTGGTGCTTGCAGGAGCGATACCGAAGGGCCCTGGCAGACTCTGAGAACGTCCGGAGGAGGACGCAGAAGTTTGTGGAAGATGCCAAGCTCTTTGGTAAGCAAAGTGAGGCAAAGCTGTGCATACTGCAGTGGCCTGCCTGCCTGAGCAAGCATAAAATGCTGAGCAACAGCTTTTTTTCTCCCCACACCCTTCCCCATCCTGCCCTCATTCACTGTAAAGCCTGGCATCTTTGGCTGGGGCTGTTGGTGTCTGGGCTTACTTGATATTTTTTCTTTATGTTAAACAGTGTCCTATCAGGTTTCTCTCAGTGACTGTTTTCTGATCTGTTGGGTTTTTTTAATAAAACAGGCCCAGTGCAATTGAGTGCAGTTCTACTGACTTGGTTGAAATTACAGGTTCTGTCTCCTGAGAATTTTCTCTGGAGTCAGATCCAATAGCTGTGTCATCAGATTATGATCTCCTTTACTATATTAACAGTCTCTTCTGTACTGTAGCTTTCAGGAGGTAGATCCTGCCTGGGACAAAGGTTTGTCAGTTTCTGTATCAGGTGTTCTTTAAAACTTCTACAATCAATAGTTTAGCATCAGTGGAGTGAGCTGGATTTGTAGCTTTAGCAACAGAGGAAGGTGAAGAAACTGCTGTTTAAGCATTGCACTTCCAGCACCATCTCTGAGAATGACAAACTGTTATTCTTCATAATGCATGAATCTTGGGAGGCTTTTTGTTAGTTAACTCCAGTAGCTTTGAAACTTAGGGTTGCTGTAATTTTCTTACCAGTCAACCCACTGTGCTACAAAATGGCTGCTGAGTTTTGGAATAATCAGTACCTTTGCTTTTTTTTTCCATAGCTCTTTGAATTTTAGATGCATTATGCTTCAGATATGGATAAAAATGAGGTTATTTTTTGGAAGTTGCTTATGGAGGGAGGCACAGGAGTCTGTAGAGCAATTAAAATTGCTCTGCTTCTGTCTGCTCCTTTGTTGCTTCTCCTTCGTGCTTCTTTGTTCTGTGCATGATTAAACATGTATGTACAGGCCTAGACAGAACCAGAGTATTATTTCTCTGTTTTCCTAATGTGTCTTTCCAGTAAGTTAGTTATGGCATCTGTATAACTGATGGAGCCTGGTTTTCCTGAAATTTCTGCACAGTGTAATACACCACTTCTGGAAATGTATAGAATCTAAACTCATTTTTCTGATTAAAAAAACTGCATGACTTTTTCATTTCTGACCCAAGGACCATTTTGTCCAGTAGTTCACAGTAGTTTTAATGTAAGAATAACACAGTGGATGTACTTTTGAATGCTCATGTATTATTTTTACTTCCCCCCCATTGTCTTTGATCACTGTGTGCATGGGCATTTGTGAGTTGCTTGGCAGGACATTTATGTCTGTGGGATTGTACAGGAGGGTGTGGGGCAGTGCAAGAACTTTTTTGAGTGAAATTCTAGTGTTCTGCTTTGTCAGATATACTGCACATATATATATATATGTTGATGTGTGTATATATGTGTTGTGTACCTTTCTTGCATATAGCTTGATTTGGGGATACATGTGTTATGCTAAAGCCTTGGCTGCAGAAGATACTGTCTGCTCTCACTAAAGTAGGGGTTCAAATCAATCAGCAGCTTTAAAGGTGCTTATAAACTGCTGTGACTTTGTGCCTGTCATTGGTACTATAAATTGCCCTTTGTTTACTTTTTACTTCTTTGTGCCTGTAGGGATCCAGAGTTTCTGCAGGGACCTTGTGGAGGTAGCAGATATCTTGGAGAAGACTGCTGAGAATGCTGCAGAAGAAGTGGAGCCGAGTAATCCAAATCCAACCCTGCAGAAAATCTATGAAGGCCTCTCTCTCATAGAGGCCAAATTGCAAAGTGTGTTTGCCAAACATGGCCTCCAGAAGATGAACCCTGTTGGTGGCAGATATGATCCATATGACCATGAAATAGTCTGCCATGTGCCAGCTGAGGGCATGCAGCCAGGCACAATAGCTCTGGTGACTCAGGATGGCTATAAACTCCACGGTCGCACTATCAGACACGCGCTGGTTGGCGTGGCAGTAGAGTCACAGGAATGACATGGGTTTACCCCTTGGCATCTGGGACCTTCCTGAGCTGAGACCCCTCAGCACTCAGTCACAGCTGCAGCTGCATGTCTTATTTATTAAGCTAGGTTTGTATTGTATGTTGGCTTCTTTAAATTGTGTGCAGTCATTTTGCCTTTAATTCTAAGGTACTTGTATATTTAATAATCCTTTTTGGAGTATGTGGAATAGTACTAAGAGTCCTGCTACTTGTCAGAAAAGTGGCACTGTAGCCCCTTTCTCCATTGCTCATTTCTCCATTAAGACATATATGGGCAAGAGGGGAGATATGGGAGAGAAAGGGAAGTTCTCTGAGATCTAAGGAATCTTGTCTCCCAGTTCCATCTCTGAGACAGACTCCTGCTTTGGCCTTCAGAAAGCTAACTTCTCTGCCTCAGTTTCCATATCTGTGTTAAGGGAATATAATAATACTTACTGACCTACCTCACAAAGATGTGATGAGGCTTTTTCTTTGCAAAGCACTCGGAAGAGGAAAAGCCCAAAGGGCTGAGTATTATTATTAGGCTGGTTTTGGTGTCTTTCCTTGTCCCCAGACCTCTCAGGTGGGGATGAAGATGATAACTTGAAATTAAATTTTGGAGCAGCTTTTTTCTTACACACAGGAAAACAATCCCAAATTAATGAAATCTGTCATACTACAGTTGAATAGGGATGAGGTTTTACAGAGAATTCAGTTGTTAGGCAGACTTTAACGTGTTAATATTTGTTCTCCAGGTAACACTTCAGCTTGGTTCCTTGTTCTTAAAGGTAAACCAGGGAGTAGTGGTTCTTGGTGGAGCCAGAAAACAGTTCTCAAATCTCTTTCTCCAACTAAAAACTGTATTTTAGAGGAGAGTCATCTTCCCTGATGGGTATTTGTGCAGCTCTCAAGCATGGTAAACTGTATACTCTTTGTTGCAGCTGCTGGCAAAATGGAGATGTGCCCTTAAGCAGGAAATCTGGACTGTTTGTATTTTCTCAGCTCTCCAATAATGGTACTCAGATTCTAACACTGACTTCCAGTTCACATTCAGATTCTACTTTTATGTGGTCATAGTAAATATTAAACCTTTTTTTTTTTAATGCAAGGACAAAAATCTTTTCTACTAGAAGTCTCAAGTGCCCTTGAACCATTTTTAGCAGCGGTGACAAGAAAGCAAGAGAAGCAGAAGGCTGAGGAAGTGAAAGCTGACCTGGAGCCATCCTCTTAGTTGGAGGCATGTTGTGGTCACAGCATGGCAGATGAATTTCCCAGTGGTCCTTTTGCCTGGGAGTCCACTTATCTGAGCTGAAAGGATGCAGTCACCCAGTAAGATCAGAATTTAACCCTTTGCAGAGCAGGAAGCAGCATAATGACAGAAGAATGATAAAAACCAGCCTGTGGTCTGCAGTACACAAACCCAAGGAAGGAATGGTCGTTTTCACATTGTTTCTTGCTGATTTCTTAATTCCTTCATTTTTACTTTCTGAAAATGGGTCCATGACCTGACAATTAATTGAGATCTACTTCCAAAAGCTCTTTACTTATGGTGGATGCCATCACTGGTTTGGAAGAAAGCTTATTCTTCTCCCATTCCTTTTCAGGCTTCAGTTGCATAACCTTTTTGTGGTGGACTTCAAGATTACTGCAGCCTTCAATTAGCAGCTATCAACAGTCTTTCATCTGGAGAGACTATGTGCAGCTAGTTGGTTATCATTCCAGAATTTTAAGGAAGATGCACTTTTCTAATATGCTCCATGTGAGCTGCTCATGTGACAGCTGCATGTGGGTGACTGTCACAGATACTTTTTGAAGTGCAGTTTTCTGCCTTTTAAGTAGTTAGATTTTTGTGCAGGTACTTGAGAATTCATCCCAGAAACTGCCACTTCATGGCAGTATTAGATCACTTTGGACAAACTTCTTGTTCAGTGCTCTTGTTTTATCATGTTGTTGGAAATTTCAGATACACAGGAATTCCTGTTCCTTGTTTTGCTGGTGTATGTGCTGACTGGTCACCAGGTTATGCTGTTCAAGACAAGGGGTAAAATATGAAGTGTGGCAATGCAAGTCTTGCTGTGCTGCCTCAAGACTGTCTGCAGCTTGTTCTGAGGAAACTGTCTTCAGCTGAAGGAGTGGTTGGGTTCTCTGCCTCTCAGCCCCTGCTGTATCAGCTGAGTCTTTTTGCAATATGAGGGTAGAGCTGTTTATGGAAACTGACTTTGAATGTGAAACTTTATTTATAAATAACTAAAGAAAGGCATTTTAAGCAACAGGTCGTCTTCTGTCATGGAAGGGCTGCAGCTTACCTGAGCTGGCTTTAAAAGTAGCATGTGACCAGAAGTAGTGGGATCCAAATCCTCTTCAAACTGACCCACAGAGCCACTTGACTGAAAGTTTACTACGACTACTTGATCCACTTTCAGGCTGTTTGCCAGCTCTGCCTGTCTCAGCTAGTGTTCACCCATTTTTGCCTTAAAAAAAATACCCTAAATGCACTCCAGACCTTCTGTCTGTAATAAGACTTTATTGATTCAGCTCGTGTATCTGGGATCCACTTTCACTGAGGCACTCTTGTGCAGCTTCAGTAGCAGGAATCTGAAGGATCCAGTTCCTGTGCAGTCTTTCTCACCTTCCTGCAGGCCCCAAGCTGTTTTCCCTACTCATGCCCCAGTTTTTTTCAATCTATGAAACTTCTACAGGATCTTTTATGCTGATTGCTGTAAGATGTACCCATTGCTTAGAGACTCTTACAGAAGTTACCAAAGAGATAAATACTGTAGCTGTTGTTTGTCCTAGTTTCTGCTTCCTTTGAATGATGAAGTGAAAATGAAATAACCAAACCTGGATTTCATCACAGAATCCAGATTTCCTAGGCAAAATGTGATTCTCTTGCCTTTCAAGCACACTTAAGTGATCGTTTTTATCGTGGATGAGATTGCATAAGGGTGGATTAAATTTCTCCTTTGTACGTTCTTGCTCCCGTGTCTGCCCTGTTTGTGTAAAGCTTGCACACTCAGCATGCTGGGGCTGAGTCCCCGTTGGTGCAGTTCCTTTGTACTCTGCAGTTACATCAGAGAGGAGACTGACCTATGGGCTTTTTCTCTCCAGTCACTTCATTCAGTGACTATTTAACAAAACACAGGAGCAGGTTAGCAGGGATTGGAGTAGCAGAGGAGAGGAAGTGTCACTTACCTCTTAGTCATTTCCACTCCATTTGCCCAGCCAGCTGAAGAGCTTGAGCTGGGAATGCAGACAAGTCAGTAAGATGTGCATGTGATGACAGTGTGTGGATCTGGATTTCTGCTCCAGGGAGGTGGGCAGCCCTGCTGTATGTGGGCATTTGCCTTGTCTGTGACCTTGCTGTACCCTGTCAGTGGGGTGTGTTTGAGTTGAACTCTTCAATGGCACTGCCTCATGAGGGTGGCAGTGTCTCAACTCTGACCAGGAGCAGTGCAGAATGTGAATGTTGTTTTCTAGACCTTTATTTCTCAGTGCTTCATCAGCAGAGCTTCTGTTGAAAGAGACAGCTGTGATAAATCAATAACTATTAACAGTCTTTTAATTTTTAAACAAATGTATTTAAGTTTTTTGTATGTGAATATTGTGGTATTTTTTTTATTTTAAAACTTGAGATGTTTTGGTATTACTTGCAAAGTCAAATGAACAAAAGCATTGCTAATCTCCAAAAATGTAAGTCCATTGAGTTGGTGGAAAGCCTGTATATATTGTAATTTTTTTGTGTTTCTGTGCTCTCTGTTTACCCAAAGGCTCTGGCTATATAACAGACAAAGACTGAAGTGTGGGAGTGGTGCAAGTAATTGACAACGACATTTGAGTTAATGTTGGAAAGGGCTGATTTCCTTTAGATGTCCAGATCCTGTCAATTTGGTAATAAAAAAAAAAAAAAAGAAAGAATTGCAGTTGCTTATTTTTCCTTTTTTCCCTGCCCCGAACTGCTGCTTGTTCCAACTGGGATTTTAATCAGGTGGGACTGAGGATTGAAAGGTTTCTTGCTGTTCCTGATCCAGTTGTCTAAAACAAGAGCTACAGTACATGGCAGTGCAGAACTTTGTTGAATATGCTGTTAACACGTAGGTGGACTCCAGGAAAGACACGCGTGTGCCATCTTTCCTCATGCCTGTGGCTTGTCAGAGATTTCTGCACTGATAAATTGCCCAAGTGTGTTCTCTGCTGCTTCCATGTCTGTTCCTGGTAAGTCTGGTCATGGACTGTTGTGTAGAGAAATGCTGTCTGCCAGCCTTTGGTGGTAGCTCCTGCAGAACTCTGCTAACAGTTGACATGCTTGATGTCTGGTCTTATTTGTGCTGTTCTCACAGCTCCACTTGGCTGCATTTTTTCCCTTCTGTGTGCAGTGTGTTGCATGGGGTGTGCGGGGTGGCAGCTCTGTTCAAGCAGCTTAATGTGCAGTGTGTACTAATGCTGGTGGTATCCACAGGCCGGATATGATTTCAGGGATTTGTTGGAGAGAAGAACAGGCTTTCTTTGTAGGAGTGTGATTGTAACAGATCTCATTTTTTCCTTCGCATGTCCTCTGTAAAAATAGCTGGGCCTCCATTCCAGGGCTTGCTGGAGTCTCATAGCACTCGGTGCCATGTCAGTGGGCCTTGCCTGCCTTGTTCTCCTGAAGCTCTGAACCCCCCTGGGCACTTCTCATTAAAAAAATAAAAATTAAAATAAAAAATTGCAAATGGCCTTTCCGGGGTGAGGTGTAAATTCTTGTGCTAAGCAGCTGCCAGCAAAGCCCCCTCGCCGTGGCAGAGGCAATATCCCATTCTATGGGCTCTTCCTCATTCTGCCAAGAAGGAGTTGTGAGGGTGTTGCTCAGCGTTTGCTAACCAGCCCAGAACAGCAAGGACTGCTGCTGTGTTAGTGATTCCTGGCTCTGCTGGTTTTTCTCTGCAGCAACAGGGAGAGTTGGGAGTTTTCAAACCACCGCCACCTCCAGCTGCTGAAAAGCAGCTTGGGAGCAAAGGGAAGGGCATTGTGCTTATGGCAGGGAACTGCAGAACACCTGTGAGCAGGGCATGGTCTGCCCTGAGAGGAGGTGATGGGGAGCAGTACTGAGCCAGACTCCTGGCAGCTTTGCTGCCTGTGCAGCCAGATTTCTTGTCACCACAACCATGGTGAAATCAGGCCGGTTAAGTAAGGGCTTATTAAAAC